TAAGTAAGTAAGTAAGTAAGTAAGTAACGTAACGTAACGTAACGTAACGTACGTACTACTCTCTCTCTCTCTCTCTCTCTCTCTCTCTCTCTCTCTCTCTCTCTCTCTCTCTCTCTCTCTCTCTCTCTGCTCTCTCTCTCCCTCTGTGTACGTATTTGTACGTATTTGTACATATATAGGTAAGTGTTCCCTTCCAATCTCACATTCACATTCACATACACATATACAAAGTTAAATCACAACCTCTTCAATCACACCATACCATACCTAACCTCACGATACCTTTACGCAAAACCGCACTTTTCCCATCATCCCATCCCATCCCATCCATACATTCACCTATGTACTGTACTGTACCGTATCTACAATATGTAGACAGTACCTAAGGTATGTATGCATTTGCAAACTTCTCCCCTCGTGCAATACAATAATTTCTCAAGTAGACTATGGCTTTATGCACCTGACACAGGTAAAAGGCCACCATAGCCCAACCCAACCCAGTCTAGAAGCCCCCTTCTCAAAAAAACGCCGATGATGACCTGACCTGACCTGACCCTTTGAGAGTTTTTTTCTGTTCGTTCAATATCGAGGTTCATCAGGAATGCCGCTTAAAAAAACAAACAGACGTGAATCTTGTGCAGCAAGTGTTGATCCGAGTCCAGCCAAGTTCTCAAATTCAATATTTCTTTTTCTCCCCTCCATTCTTGCTCTTTTTTTCTTCTTCTTTTGAAAAAGGCAAGGGAAGGGTTTGAATAGGCTTGCTCGATGGCTCTTCTCTTCTTCTTCTTCATTCTTGCGCTGCTCACTGTCAAGCTGGGGGTAGTGTACTGCTGTTGGATCTTTGTGTTCACTCATCATCATCTTTCATCTTCTTCACAATTCCCTTCCTCGATTATCTTCTTCGTCAATCTCTTGTTCCACCCTCTCCCTCTCTACACCCCTTTCCCACCTCTCATCATTCTCCATTCTCCATTCTCATTCCCATCATCATCACTCATCCGTCAACTTATCCAACAAATGAATACTCAAAATCATAACCAACAACCCAATCGTCACAATAATCAACAACGCAAACCCAAACCACCCCAACACCATCGCACTAGTTCCAACTCCACTCTTAACCGATCCATTTCCAAAATCTTTCGCAACTTGCGCAGCAGCCACCGAAGCCGTATGTTGCCACAAGACGCTCACCAGCACGAAAATCGACGAGATGAAAATCAGTGCGAGCGCCACTTGCGAGACGGGTCGGGAGGGGAAAGGTTTGATGTCAATGTCGGAGCCGGTGCGAGCGTCGTGTTCTTCGTGCCAGCCGGGAAAAGTGGCGAGGAGGAGGAAGGTGAAGAAGGCGAGGATGAGGGCGATGATGCTGTTGAAAAAAAAATTGTCAGTTCATGCGAAAAGAAATAGTAGTTAGTAAGAAAAAGAAAAAAAAAAAAAAAAAACAACTCACAGTAAATAAGGAAACACCACACTATTCTTAAACGTATTCGCCACCCAAATCAGATTCAACGGATCCTGATCAATCGAAACTTGCTCCGCCAACAACGTGGCATTATTCGAGCACAAAAAACTGTCTCCCGAATCATCATTGACGCAAATTCCAAAATATCCCACTCGAACTTCAATCCCCGCATTGCTGACTAAATTTGCAATCGCGTTGCTGACGGCGGGATTGACTTGGGTGGGATCGTATGTGGGCGTGTATTTTTCGTAGTAGAATGTGATGAGGAAAATGCCCGGGATGAGGGGGGAGGAGGAGGAACAGCCGGCTAGTAAGAGTGCTGTTTTGGAGAGAAAAGAAAATAGTCAGTAACCTGTTGTGATAGATGATTATGATGATGGCAACTCACATAACAAAATAATCGCCAAAGCAATCAATATCATCAACACATGATGATATCCCAAAAAGGGTATCAGGCGCTGCAGGCCCACAGCGAATCGTACATTCGCCATGCCGGCCTTGGTAGAGACGGTCTACCGGCTGTCTGGATGTGTGTTCTTTTCTTGCTGCTGATTGAAGGGCTCCAGCGGCCAATGGCCGAGGAGATGGGAGCGCTTTTCCCCCAACGAGCCGCCCGACTGGAATGCGGAATGCTGCTGTTGTGGCCTCTCTTTTCTTGGGTATCGGTAGCGAGGAGGAGGGAGCGTGGGAGTAGAAGGAGGAGTGGATATCAAATGTCTCAGATGCGGTCGTCGTCGTCGTCGTCGGCGTCGTTCGTCGAAGAGATTCTCGTGAAGAAACTTGGGACTTGGTCAACAATGGCACACCCCGTTCTGTTGCTCTCAAGGGGAGGTAAGGTAGATGGAAGGGATGGAGAGTGAGGAATGGAGTATGTGTGTGTGAGTGAGTGTAGCTTGCTTAGCTGTGAAAGACTGTATTCGGTTGTCCCCTTCGTGTGTCTCTTTCGTCCCCTGCGCTGGGAAGAAGATCTGAAATCATCGAGGTTGGCGGTGGCTGGTAGACCCAGCCTCGCGTGTTTGTTGCCTCGCGAGTTCGCCGGGCAACCAGCGCGACGTCATTGAGGCTCGGCGGAACTCCCGAACCTTATTTGAGCACACCCCCTGCACGCTAACGTTGCTTTTCACCTACGGACATCCCTGGATTTGTTTGATCTCTCTGTCTACGGTGCTGAGGTGGCTTTCACTAGTGTGTACATGTATTCTATTCTATACATCTCTATGCCCGAATGATATCGCCCCTCACTCCTTTGTCGACCACTCGCTGTCCACAACACCCAACAGCTCGCCCATTTGAAAAGGTTTCGTGACTACTGCATCGACTCCCGCATTCAACGCCTCCGTCTGCTGCTCACTTCTCGCATTCGCCGTAATGGCGACAATGGCCAATCTCCTTCTCACGGCCGGCATGTTTCGTATTCGTCGTGTGCATTCCAATCCTCCCATGACCTGGATCCCAGTCAGCATACCTCCGGACCATACGTCAGACCAGAGGAGAGAGAGAGAGAGAGAGAGAGAGAGAGAGAGGAAGACGGGGCTTACAGGCATTTCAATGTCCATGAGAACGACGTCCAACGGGACACCATCTCTTTGGCAATATGTCGACCGCCGTATATGATCAAGTGCTTCACCGCCGTGGTTTGCAACATGGACTTGATAGCCAGCTCTGCGGAGCTGCCGATCCATGACTTTTTGGTTGACAAGCTACACATCGTAGTCGTCAGCTGAGAATGAAATATTGCGAGATCCATTGGCTCATCCATACATTGTCTTCCACAAGCAAGATATGCCTGGCTTTTCCAGTCTGTGTCGTAGGTGATGAGCCTTGTTCCTGCTTGTATCGCTCAAGCTGCACGTCTGGCTCTTTGTCTTTCACAGCCTGCTTGGGAGCCTCACACTTTCTGGTTTTGATATAAAACTCAAAAGTCGAGCCCACTCCATGTTCCGAATGAACTCCGATCTGACCTCCTTGAAGTCGTGCCAATTCTCGCGAGATAAAAAGACCAAGCCCGGAGCCACCATATTCGATATGTGTCTTGTGGGAGGATTGCTGGAAACGGAGAAAGATGCGTTCGAGTTCGTCAGTCTTCATACCACACCCTGTATCTGCCACTGCGACGAGTAGGTACACCACATCCTCATCCTTCTCACCACCTCCTATCTCATCACCTTCGGCATTTCGTTTCTCCTCGGCATTCGGCCTGGCATTGGGCTGTGGTAGATAAGGGATACCTGCCAGCGATTTGAGAGGCAACGTCCTGCTAGCAGCCAGTGTGACGGTAATGGTTCGGGTCAACTCGTTCTTCGTGAACCGGATGGCGTTAGTGATGAGGTTGATGAGTATCTGCAGCAACCTGCTCGGGTCGAGCATGGCCCATTGGATGTCCAAGTCGCGGTAAGATTGGTCAATGACGTATTCCAATCGAGTCTCTGCTGCTTGAAGCTCTGCTTCAAACAGTCGCAGCGACTGGGATACAATAGTCATTGGATCAGTCTCGCAAGGCGTGACTGCAAGCAAATTGGAGTCGAGCTTGCTCAGGGTAAGGATGTCGTCTATGATCCGTTCTGTGGAAGAATCAGTTACTGTCTGCCTTCATTTGGATGTGGCAAGCTATACTTTGGTGTTGTATGCATGTTGTGATGATTTCTGTGTTCTCGATCTGATTTTGTATCGTCTCTCGACCAATCGTGACTGTATCTGTCGCTCCTTCCAGTGTCGTGTTCCTAAGTAAATCCTCCAATGTCGCCTGCATGGAGCTGGCGCACAAACTTGTAGCAGAGAGGGGATTTCGAATCTCATGTCCAACAAAGTCCTAAAGCAGATTGCAGTTAGTACCGACTCTCACTACACAAGCATGATGGCTAACCATAAAGTGTTCTTGCTGACGCTTCAGCTCAATCGCTTCCTCCAACCTCCTCGTCTGCAATGTTTCCAACAGCTTTTGTCGACTGATTTCGATAAGTGCGCCTTGTATATTATGTATACTGCCATCGTCCGATTTGATTGAGAATGCAGCCGATAGAAACCATGTCTCCGCCTCAATGGTCTCGCCACTGAGAGCATCTGCAGCCGTGAATTTTCGCTTCAGCCTGGCCTCGAATTGAACAGACTCGCCAGCCACGAGCTTGGCCCAATTCTGCTCGTAAATAGGAAGGTCATCAACATGAATCATGTCCACCCAGAAATAGGGATAGACCTGGTCTGGCTTCAATCCCATCAACTCGTAGTACGCATCGTTGGCGTAAGTGATCTCGCCCGACGGGCGCATCTCATACATGGCCATTGGCATATGAGTCGCAACGGAGCGAAATCTTTGCTCATTATCCTGAGCCTGCTGTTCCGTCAGCGCAAGCTTTTCTGACAAAAGCAATCGGTCCAACGCGGCCAGTTCAGCTTGCATGTTGGCTTTCCTCGTATCTTGCTCTACTTGTCGAACCGTGCTCAACGTTCCACAAAGCTGTGTCGTTAGCAGACGAATGAATTGCTTGTAGTGTAAGTCATAATAGCGCCGACTGCTGATTCCAAGTAAGAGAAATCCAATCCTGTCGCCATCTTGAGCTCTTCCTAGTGGTATCAAGACTGCCATAGTACATTGGTCGTTGTACGCACGACTTTTCGCAGCCGGGTATAGGTGAGAATGGGGCTCGATCGAGATCGTCTGGACTTTGCCTGTGAGGATACTGTCCTTGAAGTCTGGCGACACGTTCTGAGCAGCCCATTGTGAGTCTATCTCGTGACAGAATACGCTGCCTATATGTTCATTGCCGAGTGTACCTTGTAGACTCCACTTTTGAGTCGCTTGTGTCGAGTCCATATTAGAGAGTTCAATCGAGCTAGATGTCGACGTTGTGCGGGATATGGAATGGGGACTTCGAGGAAGGGCGGCATATAATGCGACAAAGGGTGCTTCTTTTCTATTATGCCGGAGTCCTTCGATAATAGCTGGCCAAAAGTCTTCAACCGCCTTCACTTCCGCTGTTTCCTTCTCAAGCCGGAGTAGAGTGGCCATCTGGCGATCTTCGTGTACACGTGCAGTGAGATCCAGTACATTATTGTAGTAGCCAGCATTTGTCCCGTCGCCGATGACTGGAATGATGGACCAGTCGCCATACATTTCCTGGAGAAATCCTCTTCGGCTCACGAAAAAGGGCGCACGATCGCCACCGCTGGCCTCGCCAGTAGCATCAGCCTTCTGAAAAGCATACATGATCTCGCAGTCGGCAGCCTCTGGCCATACCTCCTGTACCGTTCGTCCCATGGCCCACGGATGCCTTTCGGCCAGCACCAACTGGTATGCTTCATTGTAGATGGAAGTCTGCTTGGCACCCCAGTACAGCACGGCAGCCCTAGGATCTGCCAGCAAGAAGTTCACAGCGCGTCTCAGGTGCGACGACCAGGCTGACATAGGGCCCAAGTCTGTGGATGACCAGTCAAAAGCGCGGAGAAGTTCGACATGGCTGGAGATGGTGTGACCGGGATTGATGGTAGCGGCCGTGAGGTCGTGTGGACCAAGATATTCCGGATGATGCACATGCACTATAGACTGGCACGAGTCGTCGGTCGACTCTCTCTTGTGCTTGAGTCCGCGAGAGTGGTTCTGGAAAGGCGCGTTGTACGCCAAGGTGAGCATGTCATATCGCCGTCTCAATGTCTCCTCGAGCCAGTCCTTGTCGGCATGATGAAGGGTGGCAAATATGTCTTCCAAAGTAGACGCTTCCTTCTCTGGCCACATGGCATTGGACACGTTGGCACACAGCAATGATGTGCGATGAAGAGAGCAGAAGGGACGCCATAATGAAAGTTGTCAAGACCCCCAAGAGGGTTTGGTAGTTCTAGAAGTCATGTACCTACATGTACCTACATGTACCTACATGTACCTCCTACCGCTGACGCCCTGATGTCGACTGCGGTGGTGGGCCGGTAGCATTGAGACATACGCAGAACAAGCTTCCATATGAAGACAGCTCAAGACAGCTGTGGCCAGCGCGGTGTATGATGTCTCACGGCACGGCGTCGAGAGGGTGATGTTGGTATTGCTCAATGTGGGAGAGGGACATATTCAAGGGCATGTCGAGTGCTCTGTACCTAACGTCGACGGGAGTATAGAAGGAGGAGGAGGAGGAGGAGGAGGAGGTGGTGGTGGTGGGATGAGGGTCGCTTATTCTCGTATCGAACGGCGGAATTCGGCAACCTCGGAGCACGCAAGGGTTCGCGTGAAAGCCACGCGTGCTACTGGGTGCTGGGTCCATAGTCCACACTTGCGCCACACTAGTGCCACACTTACTAGAGGAAACTGCTCGCATGCTCCCTCGTCATCTCATCCCATCCCATCGTCCACTCCCCATACTGTCCCAATACCATACCGCAGTAGGGCTACATACTCCACGAATCCCGCATACCGCACCATTTCCGTACAACACCTGCGCGTGTGGCCTTGAGGACATACCGGAGTTCTCGATTGATGACCCCCGACACTCCGCACTTCTCCCGGCACGGCTCATACGACACTTTTGCTTCGTACCGCGCGCACACTCCCGATCCCATCCTCGCCCTCGCCGCGCCCACCACCCGGACAGAACGGATGGCCGCATACTCACAGTACATTCCCGATGCTCGACGCTTAAGGTCCTTCTTCTTGCGCCTGCCGCTGGCCACGCGCGGCTTCCTACTCGTCATCATCGTGCTCTATTTCGTGCACTTCTTCTATCCGCTGTTGACCATATGGGGCGCCCTGATCCCAGACTTGATTAATTTGGGCACATGTATGACCTGCTCTCCTCCTCCTCCTCCTCCTCCTCCCGTCCCACTCTGTTGCATGCTGACATGCCTTTCCCACAGTATACAGACTAAACACCTTTCCACTCATACACAAATCCGTCTTCCATCTCCTCCTCAACCTCTTCACGCTGATACCACTGCTCGAGCGCTTCGAATCCGAGCACGGCACCATCACCACATTCATCCTCTTCACAGGACCCTTTGGCCTCATTCCAGGTCTGGCGTACACGTTCCTCGAGCGATATGTGTTTCACTTGAACACAGGAGTGGTTGGGAGTTCGATATGGGTCTTTCTCCTCCTCGCGAATGAGTCGATCAAGCTATACAAGACGAATCCCGAATTCGTCCTTGGAGGCTTCGGAATACCGACATGGCTGACGCCCATTTTTGGAATCCTAATCGTGTGGTTCCTGGTGCCAGGGACAAGTCTACTAGGACACCTGTGTGGTGCGGCTGTAGGCTACCTGTGGGGCATTGGCTGGATTCGCTTCCTCGCGCCACATGACAAGATTCTGAGATGGGTCGAGGGAAAGCTCAATCTGCTGGGGAGACTACCGCACTACGTGAGTGTGGATCAGAAAACCTATGGGCGATATGGTGTGCTCCCGAGTACAAGAAGCTCTGGGCCAAGCCCCTTGGCGGCCATGGAGGACGGACCTATTGGAAGCACGCAAAGACTAGGACCTTAGAATGAGCCTTGGACAGGACTGTATGTACCTTCTGCAGAGTACATTGACATGGAGACGAGAGCATTGGCCTTGGGCAGCTCAAAGCGTGGCACAAGTACCAAAGTGGCGTGGAGGACGCAAAGCGCAAAGTGTGGAGCTCCTGTCAGCGGGCAATTGGAAGGCGTCACGCCCTGGGACAAAAGATACGCGCTGCTGAGATGAAGAGAACCTGGACTAGACCAAAGAACACACATCTCGATGGAGTATATGATGAGAAGAGGGGTGTTGGTCTGTGGCTATGACAGTGTATTATAATGCCTAAAAGGGAGGAACGAGGAACGGGAAAAGCCGTCCACTCAGCCTGCGGCGTAATCCAACAGATAGATACTTGGGCTCCTTCACATATCATGTGACACTTCTTCTCCAAATACCAAAATAGTTATGATTAATGACAAGGAGAATTTGAACCTTCTAAAACTGAACGGTCGACTACATCCCGGGGCCCGTTGTTGTGTTTTCTCGAGCTTCACAAAGTCTGTGAAGGAGTGCTTGCTTAGGTGTGCCCATATAGCGCATATCTATGTTTTGATGAAATAGAGCACCATCGAATTAAACCATGCAGAGCTGGTATTATCTTTCTTTTCTTTTTCTTTCTTTCTTGCTTTCTTTTTTTTTTTACATCAGGTATACACGTATCTCCACACTCCCCCCACAAAACCATCGTCAGAACGCCCTCGCCATGCTTTATAGTAAGGGCTCCGCAGCAAAAAAAAAAGAGGGGAAAAAAAGGAAAAACTCCTTAGACCCTCCCTCACCCCACATGCCTCCTACATCGCCCGTGTGCACCTTCATGTCTAACGCGAACAAAACGAAAAGAGGTGCAACAGTGTCCGGACTGATGACAGGACTGACTCCTTCTTCTCCTCTTACTCATCTATCACGACACCTTAGGACTAGTCGTAGGTTTCATATACTCCAAATCATTCTCCTTATTGTCCGCTCGAGCTTCTTCGAGCATAGTGTCGATTCCTCGCTCTTTGAGAGCTTTCTAAAAGGTTGTGTTGTTAGTTGGAAATTTCTTCTCGATTTCTTTTTTCTTTTCTTTTTTCCTTTCTCTTTTTTGTTTTTGCGCTTCGCGTAAGTACTTACTCCCAGGCATTCTTTGTATTGTCGAAAAAGAGGTTCGCATTCGTCAGTTTTGGCGGTTCCTCGGATGAATTCTGGAGGGTGTCTCATCAGCAATGAGGGGTAGAAGATGGGGTAATTGGGTTTTGGGGGATGGAGATGGATGGAGATGCAAAGAACGCACTTTCCGAGTACCATTTTAGGAAGCAGGAATCGTAACGTCTATGATGGCTAAGGTTAGCAGGAGGACCCTATCGAGATGAACATGAGATGCTCACTCTTTAACTTCGTTGCATTCGGGTGCTAGTGAGGCTGACATGGCTGCGAGCTTTATTGATGGTTACTGGATTGAGTGGTGGTGGCAACAAGAGGTGAGGTTGAAGTTTGCCGAGCCAAGGCCATCGACTTTCTTCCTACTTCCGACTTCACTCTTTGTTTTTGGCCTTGACAACAACATCTTCCTCATCGTCAATGAAGGCACTTTACGAAGATTTCATCTCTACTTGCGTCTGGATGTATGAGCCTTCTCGAACCATATATCGCACGCAGGAGGAGAGCAGGCGACAGATGCCGCCCGTCGCGCCTGGCTCGAGAAGCATCAACAGTTGAGCAGAGGGCAAACATCTTTCCCACTTGAAGATGCGCAATGCTTCATCGTGCGCGTCCTCAGGTGGCCTATGTTTCGCTGATGCCGACACGGTCAAGTGGCTGTGAACGCCATAGAGGGAAACGAAACAGCATGATTCAAAAGACATCCGGGATGCGGAACTGTGGGAAGCTCCATGAAATTGAGAGACGCCTTGTATCCAACGGCTCTGCATACCGACTACCTATCACGAACCACAGGAAGAATATTGCGGGCTCTCTGACACTGAATGGGGGGTTTTTTTCGCCATTATGGACCTCGGCCTTGCTGCGAAAGACGTTGCCCGGGAGACAGCTGTCAATAAACAGTACGGTGGGCTATATTGTTTCGCGCGACTAGAGCGAATATATGTTTCGAGTCTTGAGGTGAGGATGTCGCGATTCGTGAATATGTTTTGTTATCCAGGGCCTTGGCTGAAACTACAAGGGTCAGCAGAATCCAAGTATTGCTACGCCGTGCTCAACTTCGTCCCCGACTACAAGCTTGCAATCATGCTTTAGGCAACGAAATGACCACCATTTGAACACAGCGCGCACTTTCTTCCATGCGTAGAACGTGAAAACAGTCGTGACTCATTTCGGCTTCTACGGAACCAGTTGTTGTCGATGAGGAACCTTATGTTGCCAGGCAGATGAGCCCTGTAGCTAAGGCATAAGTTCATCGTGCGCACCTCTGGAGATCTATCCCTTCCCACGCTCGCACCTTTGAAGACCGATCCATTCCAATATTTTTAGTGTCGGGTGACCATCACACTAAAAGAGCTTCACCATTGCTCCTTTCGCGTTCTCTCATCAAGGGCCTACACATTTCAGGCGTGCCCCAGCATTCATCGAACAGATCAAAGAGCAGCAACGGATACAGCAGGAGCAGCACTCGCAAAATCTGATCATGGGTCTCTTGCGAAGTCCAAGCCAAATACTGAGGAAGAGGAGAGCTGAAGGAAATCAACCTGCACCCGCAGCGGAAGCTGGAGCTGGAGCTGGAGCTGAACCTAAAGCTGAACCTGAAGCTGAACCCAAAGCTGCCGAAGGGGAAGAAGTGGTCGCGCCTGTTGTTTCGAATCCTATCCCATATGCCCCGTCAACGACCGAGCTGCTCCTGCGCAGCGATCGCGAAAAGTCAGCAACGGCCTACCGACGCGCCCAGAAGGCCGAAGCTGAATACCGCGCCAAGAAGGATGCCGAAAGATCTCGAAATGACTACAAGTCTTCCAAGTCGCACATCAAGACTTCATGTCATGAGTTGAAGTTGGGCCTGAAGACGGCTTTCTCGTCGGTGAAGACTAGTCCGGCTGTCTTGAAGGAGAAGCAAGTAAATGCTGGCACCAGGTCTGCTGTAAAGAAGCAGGAGAAGGAGGACGAGAAGAGGAGGAAACTGGATGCGAAGTTGAAGAAGGTGAAGGAGCAGCAAGCAAAGTTGGAGGAGGCAAATAAGGAGAATAATGATGAGAATACTCCTGTGGCTGACGTCGTTGAGGAGTCTGCACTGGACTGAGAGCCAAAGGGCTGTGAGAACGCGAAGCGCGTTGTTTACCTTATGTCTGTAATGTCTCCTTACGCGCGACGTGATGCATATAATCCATACGAGATACGATAATGATAGTCAAATCTAGTGATATTGTGATGATTGAAGCATCAGGTATTGAAGACTTGAAGTTGAACGATTCCTTTACTTGTAACCGTGATTGTTGATGTATGGACAACGTTGTAGATTCGCGTACGCAAGGATTTTCGGCAGTCGGCGGCGCTAACGCACACGCGGGAACCCTGGCAAAGCTTAAATCATTAAAAAGTTCGAGCTCGATTTGCGCGCCGAAGAGATCATTTGGTGGGACTGCCACGCTCACTCATTGTTTCCAACATGTCTCCCGCCACGAAGAGACGGAAGGTTGAGCACGTATCCTCAAGCGACGAAGATGACGATGCTTCGTTTGCCTCCTTTGGTGATGAGGATGCAGCGGAGGGGGAAGACGTGCAGATGAATGGCGACAGTGGAGGAGATGAAGAGGAAGAGGAAGAAGAGGAGGTGAATTCTGGCGCTGAAAACGACGACGAGGATGAGGACGATATCGAAGACGATGACGACGAAGACGAAGACGACGATGAAGACGATCATACAGAGGCAGCGCCACAGCCAGCGAGTGCAACACCGAAACCCACAGCCGTCATAAAAGAGGGCGCTTCCAGGAAAGAGAAGAGTCGCACATCGTCCAGCAAATCTCAAGTGGGCGCTACTGCATATGCCAACGGAACATTCAAGAGCAACGTCTTCAAGCTGCAGGTCGACGAGCTGTTGGGTCAGATCCGGCCTCGGCAGGGCCAGCGCGAGGCGTCCGCGGGAGAAGCTCTGCGAAAGCTGAAGCATACCATCGAGCAGATACCGGCAAGAGGACCACATCTTGTCAGCGATGCCGAGAGAGACTTGATCAAGCAAAAGGTGGCCATTCCCTTTCCGGATCCGCGTCCGCCAAAGGACGCCAAATACAAGTTCAGCTATGCGAAACCTGCCAATGTCAACGTGGTTGGCAGCTTCATGCTCAAGACGTCCACCAGATCGCGAGACGTTGTAGAGGTCGACATGGTTGTGACGATGCCCAGCTCCATCTTTGAAGAGAAAGACTATCTGAACTACCGCTACTTCTATAAGCGTGCATACTATCTGGCCTGCCTGGCCGCCGGCCTTCAAAAGTCTCACAAAGCAGAGTTCAATATCACCTTCGCGCTCTTCCGCAACGATCCGTTCAAGCCGGTCTTGGTCATCAGCCCCTTGGATCACTCGCTGCCTGCCTCGCAGTGGAGAATCAACATCATACCATGCGTCAGGAACAACCAATTCGCAGCGGGCAAACTTGGTCTGGACAAGAACTGTGTGCGAAGTGCTGATGATGCCGGAGATGACGGCGGCGCAGCCACCTCCTTCTACAACTCGTCACTGCGATCAGACATGCTCACCACCGCCTATCTCGAGCTTGTGCATTCCGCCTCAAAAAGCTGCGAAGGATTCAAGGACGCCTGTCTTTTGGGGAGTACTTGGCTGCGACAGCGTGGCTTTGCTTCTTCAACAGACGCCGGCGGCTTTGGTAATTTCGCATGGTCTGTCTTGATCGCATTGTGTCTGCAAGGCGGCGGTTCCAACGGGAGGTCGCTGCTCAGTGAGGGTTACAGCAGCTATCAATTGTTCAAAGCAACACTTCAGCTCTTGGCAATGAAGGATTTCGTGAAGCAACCTCTGATCGTAGGCAGCGATACTGGTATCGCCAAGTTGGCGGGTGTGCCAGTACTATGGGACACTGAACGAGCACATAATATACTGTACAAAGTCGGAGAATGGTCGTACAAGACTTTGCGCCATGAAGCCAGATCCACTCTGGCTGCTCTTGGTGACCAGCTTCATGATGGCTTCGACGCGACTTTCATCTTGAGAGTGCATGAGCCACTATACCGTAACGACTATGCGGTACAGATGTCATCGAGCTTACTTTCTGCTCGTGGCAGCAGGGCTGACCCTCGAGGTCAACTGCACATTGCCAGGCTATATACGGTGATGAAGCAGGGATTGGGAGACCGCGTCAACCATCTCAGTATCATCGCTAGCCCTTCCAGTGCTTGGGATCTCGGCTCAGCACAGCCGCGCAACGACTCGACAGGCCTCGTCACTATCGGACTCATGGTCAATTCAGAAAACTTCAGGCGAACTGTGGATCATGGCCCTTCTGCCGAGCAAAAGGCTGAAGGTGCCGCTTTTCGCAAATTTTGGGGCGACAAGGCCGAATTGCGTCGCTTCAAAGATGGCAGCATTCTCGAGAGTCTGGTGTGGGCGTCGCCTTCAGAGTGTGGACAGTCGGTGCTTGAGCAAGTAATTCGGTATCTGCTTGGACACCACTTTGGTGCAGTAACCACAGACGACCTCAAACTTTCTGGAGATGGATTCGGCAAGCTCATCAGAGGTGGCACTGACATTTCACCCTTCAGCCAGATCAACTCGAAGTACAAGCGATTTGAACAGGACATACGAGGTCTTTCGCAGCTGCCTCTATCTATCCGACAGATCATGCCGTGCAATGCGCAATTATGCTATAGCTCTCTGTGCACACCGCCCAATGGAGCAGGACGACCCACGCCGGCGGACGTCACGATACAATTTGAAGGTTCCGGAAGGTGGCCTGATGATCTTGCTGCGATTCAACGTACCAAGATTGCATTCCTACTCATGATCGACAAACTCCTCCGTGACAGCGTGCAGTCGATCACGTGCCGCGTGGGCCTGGAGAACGACGGACAAGACATACTCAACCAAGGATTCCTCGACGTCACATATTCCAACGAAGCCACATTCCGTCTTCGCATCTACCACGATCGCGAACTACATCTCCTCAAGACCCAAATGAAGAACAAGACAACGGACCCTCGATCGCGAGAGCTAGCGACCACCGGCCTGGCCAAATACAAGCGCGACTACGAAAAGGGCCCATCCCAGACTCAAGCCCTCACCCGTCTCTGCACACGCTTCCCGGCCCTCTCAGGCTCCATTCGTCTCACCAAGAAGTGGTTCGCTTCCCACTTACTGACCAATCACATCCCGGACCAATTGATTGAACTCTTCGTAATCCGCGCCTTTGTACAGCCCGCACCTTGGACCACCCCTTCTTCGATTCAAACCGGTTTTCTCCGGACCCTCTTCTTTCTCTCTCGCTGGGACTGGCGCGCCGAACCTCTGATTGTTGATCTTTCCGCTTCCGGAGGTGAACTGAAGCAGTCCAACATGAACACGATCCGAGCGAATTTCGAAGCTTGGAGGCAACTCGATCCTGCGATGAATCGTGTCGCGCTTTTTGCGGCTTCGAACCTGGATCCCGAAGGTACGACGTGGACGGATTACGGGAAACCTGCAAAGGTCGTTGTGGGGAGAATGATCGGTTTAGCTCGAGCTGCTTGTGGGGAAGTGACTGCAAACTCACTGAATCTGGAGCCTGCAACTTTGTTCGGGAGTCCATTGGAAGATTTCGATTTCGTGCTTCATTTGACATCTTCTGCTTCATCGTCCTTGTCATCTGCACGGAGGAAGATGATGATGATGCAGAAGAAGAAGAAGGACGGCGGTGTTGGATCCGACGAAAAGTACAAGAATCTTTCCGAAGAGCTTTCTTCGTTGAACGATGATACCGACCCCTCTCTCATCGGCTACGATCCTGTGCTGGATTTCCTCTCCGATTTAGAACACATTTACAGCTCCGCAATCCTATTCTTCTACGGCGGAGGAGCAGCCGAAGGAGGAGGCGGAACCACAACGGCAGGGAGTATTCATCCCAATGTCATTGCCGGTCTTTGGAACCCTGAAGTGACGAGGAAGAGGAGTTGGAAGGTGAATTTGGCTTGTTCGACTATACCTATTGTTGCTTCTGGCGAAGAGGGAGAGGGAGATGATGTCCAAACATCTGTGAATAAATCTGCTGTCTTGGCGGAGATTGCGAGGTCAGGAGGGGATCTTGTCGAGAGGATTGTTGAGAAGTAAATAGAAAAGCGGTGCTATGGAATCAGGGACGCAACATATACCTCAAGTAGGTACCTATAGAGTTGCAGACTATATATATCCCTCTCACAAGACTATTGTGACGATACTTCGTATACTGTATACCGTAGTTTATGAAAAGTTGTGTACCGAAGTTTTACCCCGTATACCGTACTATATACACCTCACACAATATTGACCTAGGTATGTACATACCTAACTAGGGACATCTACCGTATAATTACTATACGCTACCTCTATCTGACTCTGTATAATCGACAGCGGGTATATCGAAGCTTGATCTTCACGCTTACTAACAAGGCGATAGATTCGCGTAGAAGAATAGGAGGGAGTGTAGGGGGCGACTCTTCTCTCCCTTGCGGGCTCATCTTCGTCATCGGACCATCGAAAACGTGCGCCCCAGCCCGCTGTCGAAGGTGTGGAATGAGACTCGCGAAGAATCGGCACGGGCACCGGTAGAAGATATGCAATTACTCCAAGTCTTCCTAGTCGCGACACGACATGGTCCGCATCCGCGCTCACAGCGACGCGAACGAGTCTATTACTCGATCTGATCGGCGATATTGAATCTCGCCGCTCTTCGCGCCATGTGGATTTCTCCTAGCTTATGGCTCCTCTATTGCGCCGTCTGCTACTCCGTATACCTACGAGAAGATGTCGCACTCGACGCATACCGCTGTCCCCAAGCTGGCGCCAGCTCGGACGCATCGTTAACAGACCACGGCGCGGCGTCTGTGTTGGGTGCTTCACCTTTACCATCTCCGGACAATGATGTCGAAGCGCCTCCGGAGTACTTCATCGTGGCGTCAGAAGTAGGGGGAGGGGCAGAGGGTGTGGCCAGGCGGCAGGCAGAGGGCGGTGTCAGTAGAGATCCGATGGCAACGCGCATGGCGGATGAGGGATATGGCAGCTGATGCTCGTCCTCCGATCTAGGTGTCCTATGTGGCGGCGAACGGCGCATTGAGCAACGATTGCGGCACAGCACCACTCTACCGGCTCGTGAACGGCAGCCTGTCCGTCGTCAGTGGCGGCGTGACCTATACCTACTCGACCAATGCCGGAGTCGGCTCGCAGCAGTTTCTGGCCTCTGCCGGTCCCGTCGGTGCCATCACGACCACCTTCTCCATCAGCAGCGACGGGAATGTCGCGTGGAGGAACCCGGCTTTCTATGGCGGCCAGGCGCAGTTCTGTACCCTGTCCAACGGCAACATTTATGCCGTCTTCACCTATCTGGCGCAGCCGAGTGGATGTGCCATTGTCCAACTGACCTTGTTCGCGGCGACGACGTGTAGCACGCTGCAGGCACAAGTCAACAATATTGCCGCCCGACTGTCCAGTCTACAGCTCAATACCGTCACCGTGGATCGTCCGACCACTGTGGTCCAACGAATCGTGTCCACGGCGACCGTCATCTCGACCGAAATTTCCACGTTCATTCCCCCAGCGCAGACTCAAACCGCGACACGGGTCCTCACAACCATAGCGACGGCGACCGCCACTCGCGTCGTCACGGCCACGGCCACGGCCACCGTCCAAGCCGTATTGCCAGCACCAGCAAATTGTGGCAACCAAGGTCTCCAATACGCCGTTTTCGTCAACAACCAGCCCAACCACATCAACCAAGTCTACACGGCCTACGACCCGACATACATGAAAAATCGTGCCGCACCAAATTCCAACAGTACCTGGACCACCATCTACTACACCAGCGTCCTCTCCAACATCGGCGGCGGCACCAACAACTGCGCCAACGGCAACGGCAACATCACCCTCTACACCGGCGCCCCGACTTCCATCCCCTGCCAACAATTCTCCGCCATGTACCGCGGCTACCTCTACATCTACTCCTCCGGAACCTGGACCTTCTCCGTCTCCGGCGTCGACGACTATTTCGGCCTCTGGCTCGGCTCCTACGCCCAAACCGGCTGGACCAAATCCAACGCCAACATCTCGCTCGCGTTCAGCTACAATACGGGTGGACCTTCATTGGCCATTACGGGACAATTTACCGCCGGACAGTATGTGCCGATTCGAGTCGTGCATGGTCAGTCTGTGGGTGGGTTTGCGTATACTTTGTCGGTGACGGATCCGAATGGTTTGATTGCGCAGGTTACGGGGAGTTCGGCGAATAATTATTTGGTGCAGTTTGGGTGTAATTCGGATATTCCGGCGCCGAATTGGGGGCAGTTTGGGTATGAGTATTAGGATTGGGTTGTGTCGTTTTCTTTCTCTTTTTTTTTGCTCTCCTTTTGGTTTTGGTCTGTGTTGTTGTGTTGGGCTGGAAGAGTGGGAAGGGGTGGGTTGGAAGAGTGGGAGGGATGGATGGGGTTGGAAGGTGAAGTTGTATACTATTGGCAAAACGGTTCTTTTGTTGCAATTTGGAGGAAGAGGGAGAGGAGTAACAGCAAACAAATAAAACAGACAAGAAAAACACATAGCTATAGACAGACCAGACTAGCAGCAACGAAACAATGCCCTCTAGATAACAAGTCCGATGTGAGAGCGAAAAAAAAATGGGAATATAACAAAAAGAATCAAAAAAAAAGTCAAATGCCTACCTTGAATAAATTATGAAAATCCCAACCATGTCATTGATCGAATCACGTACATATCAATACCATACCATACCATCCATCTACCATCCTTATCATATCTATCCACCTTGCGTCCATCTTTCTCCACATCTACACCACCCCCTCTTTCCTTTCCCCTTCACTCCCTCCACTACTACCACTACCACCCCCCATAATCTCCCTCGCAATCCTCTCTCTCCGTTCTTCCTCCACAAGCGACAACCCTTCATCCCCAAAAACCCGATCCATTTCCTCCAAAGTTTTGCCCTTGGTTTCGGGAACAAATAACCATGTCCAAACAAAACTTGCAGCGCAGAAAATGGCGAAGAAAATGTAGGCTCCGTAGCCCGTGTGTTGGATTAAAGGGGGAGTGATGAGACCTCTGTAAAAAAAAAGAAGAGAGCAGATGTTAGTTGTTTGGGCGAGAGATTTGAAGGGGGGGGGGGAAGAGACGAGGAGACGAAGGAGGAAGAACATACATAATAAAATTATTCCCCCAATTACTACAAGTCGACAACGCCACACCCTTAGCCCTCAACGAAGTAGGAAAAACTTCCGCGGGCAAAGCCCACGGCACAGGACCCCACGTGGCTCCAAAGGCAAGCATGTAGAAAAGTAACATCGCAACAGATGCCCAGCCTTGCAGACGATGAGAGGTCCAATCGGAGGAGTAGAGGGCTACGAGGATGGTGATGATGAGGTGGGAGAGAAACATGAGAGCGCTTCCCACCAGGAGGAGGGGTCTTCGGCCGAGTTTGTCCATGGTCCAGAGGGAGGTGAGGACGCCGAGGAGTTGGGTGATGTTGAGGATTCCGGACATGAGGAGTTGGAGGGGGAGGGTTAGGCCCATTGTTTGGAAGAGGGTCGGGCTGTAGTAGATTAGGGCGTTGATGCCGACGAATCTTTTTGAGAGGTTGTTAGTTAGTTTCTGGACGGGTGGGTGAAAAGAGATGGAGGGAGGGAGGGAGGGAGGGACTTACTGTTGAAAGAACATGATTCCTACTCCGACATGTGTTCGTTTCAAACATCCCTTTTTGAACAAATCTCCCCAAGAAGCAATCTCCAATTTCACACGACTCCTTCTCGAGCGATCCTGAAGGTCAGGATGTCTCTCCGCAAGAATCTCCCGATGCAAAGCCACCTCTGCCCGAATTTCAAACCACTCCATCAGCACCCTCTCATCGCTCCTCGGCAACTGTCTCAAATTGGCCAAATTCGCCAAAGCCTCCTCATCTCTCCCTTTCGAAGCCAACCATCTCGGACTAAAAGGCAAAAACAAAATCCCCATACCCAAAACCAACCCCGGCAGAATCTGCAACACAAACGGTAATCTCCACGCCCACTCGGTTTCTTTCATATAATACGTCCCATACGAAATCCAAAACGCCACAACAATCCCCGAAACAATACTCAATTCCTCCAAAACCAACAACGCGCCTCGAATTTCCGGAGGAGAAATCTCAGAAATGTATAATGGTGTGACCATGGATAACATTCCAATTCCCAACCCCCCAATCAATCTCGCAATCACCAACATAACATAATCTTGCGCTGCAGTTTGTAAAATTGATCCCACGGTGAAAATTACAACAGCCACGACAATGGAGTATTTTCGGGAGTATTTTTCTGCGATCCAGGATTGGTTGAAGGCGCCGATGAGGGCGCCGAGTTCGATCATGGCTGTGAGGAGACCTTTCCAGAATCCGGAGGAGGAGGAGGAGGAAGAGGAGATTTGGGGGAAGCGGGAGAGGAATTGTGGTTCGACGAGAATTATGGAGATGACGCCTTGGTCGTAGCCGAAGAGGAGACCGCCCATGGCTGCGAAGATGGCGCAGAGGGTGATGTAGCGGGAGGAGAGGACGCCGCGGAGGCCGGGTTTACAGTAGGGTTGGCGGGGTTGGGGTGAAGTGGATGGGGCGGTGTGGAGGGTGGTGGTGGTTCGCATTTCTTTTAATTGGGCGGGGGGATTGGAGTCTTGTCGGGGTTTCTTTTTGATGTGGTCGTCTTCGGAGATGGATGATGGTGTTGCTGCCATGATGGGTTGTTGGTGATGTGAGTGTGAGTGATGTGGATCGAAGTTCGAGTTTTTTCCTTTTTTCTTCTCTTTGCCCGCTCTCGGGAGGATTGATGGAGTTCGGTGTTACTATGTGGTGCTTTTTAGTGTCTGATACTCGGATCGGAAAAAGTGTTGTTCAAGTAGATAGATGAGAAGCCGGAGTCGTCGGACAGGATGAAAGCAGTCACGAGACTGTTGTGAAGCTCAAATACAGGTAGCTTTGGGCCCGTTCCAGAGATTCGATGCGGCGGCTACTCTCTCCTGCTACTCTTATACTCTTGAGAAATAAAATCTGAAAATGCGTGCCAAATACCGACAGGATATATCATCGTCGACGGACGGCTTTTCCTCGCGGAAACTTCATCATTCTCCACAGAAACTCCATGGAACTAGAGGGAATTCCCTGTCGCGGTGGCATATTTCTCCTCAAATCTCCACTCACTCATGCATTTCCATCCCGCACGGCAGAACGATGTCGCGAAAAGAAGTGGATTGGGGCGGAACTGATGTCGACCAATGATTGAGGAACATTTCGACATGACACGAGCATTTTTTCGGCGTCTGGTATGTTGTATGACGACTGTTGATGCTCCTCCTCCTCAGGTACTCCTCCTCACACGCCGACACGGTCACACTTTTTATTCGTTCACAAGAGGCTGATAAGGTTTTCTGCCTTCGTTAGATGTATTCTACTGCATTTGTGCCTGTTCGGGGAAAGCCTGTGGTCAAAGAGCGTGCCGTCGGCGACCCAGATCTTGCAGTTCACTCGCTATACTTATCGTTCTGTTGCAATGCAAATGCAGGTTGCAAGCATACAATCTTACGTATATACTACTATGTACTCATGGCATGGAGTCTACCAGTATGGTTAGCACAATACGAGAAGTGTATCTGAAGGAGGGTGGTTGATGAGGTCAGGTTAAGCGTTGCGCCAACAAGCTGTGGCTTGTCCGTTGTCTTGTCAAGCGCTGACTGCCGAGACCAAGGACGCTTCTCGAAATGACAGAGACAATGTGCAACCAGCGAGAATATGCCCAGGTCAGTAGTAACACCTTCGAGCGGGTGCATTAGATACTGCTTCCGACCTGCTTCTCGATCATTTGACCAACTGCCTGCCGCTGCTGCACGACTTCGGCTGTACTGATCTTGTTGAACCGCTCGGTGATAGCGCTGTCCGATCAGTGGCGCTGGACGTACACTTCCAGTACAAATTGCTCGAGCGGGCTTGATGGTGGCTATCCGCCGAGCCTCTAGATCTTTGAAGTCCTCGTCCTGTTCCCGGCCCTCTCAGGCCGATAGGTGCCCCGGAATCCCCTCAGCTGTGGAGTATATCCGCTGCAAATCCGTTGGGATGCCTCCCCGATTTGGAACTATGGCCTTCAGGGCGTCGTCTTTAATAAAGGAGTAGACGTCGTACCCATATGGCCGTACTGTCTTGCAGACTCGAGGCGAAGATTTGCATCAGTATCTGCATCACCCTTTCCATCGATGAACTTGGCGTGGCGATCATGTTCCTGTGCGGAGTTGTGCTGTTTTCGCCAAGACTCATCACTGTCAACGTGCATGATCCGGCAACTGGTGGCCTTTGAAGACACTTGTGGGTATCGTCATTCTCAACCTATTCACCACCCTCTCCACTGTTCACACGAAGCTTAGCAGCTTGGCGAGGTCAATTCCCCGCCCGTAACCTTGAGATTAGTAAAGCCCGGCGAGGAAGAGGAGGTTGGATACAGGTGCATCTGATCTTGCGGTACATGCCCCAAAATCTTGCCAGATACCGTGCATGTTGCCTTGATGATGCCTTCATGAAACCCACGCTACGACGAGCGAGTCTCACCTGCATCCGACACTTCAGGAGCCGTGTCACTGTGTACCTGCATGGGGTCGCCAGCTTCTTCGACATCATTCGAATCTTCACCACCTTGATCTTTTTCGGCTTCAGCACCCTGATTGGCTGAAATGTCCTCCTGATCATCTTCCTCTACGTCGCGCGCCGCCGCAGTCTTCAGCGTTCCACCCTTGCGCTTGGGCATGACTTTGAAGAATGCTTCGCCCCAATCTCCACATTCCAACCATTTCATCAAAATTTCGTTGACATGATTGGTAGCCAAGACCTTTCGGCTTGCCATGTCCATGTACTCGCCGATCGGCAACTTCGCAGTCTTAATGCCAGCATTGGTCGCTCGTCTATGACAGATACCCTTCTCGCGATTCTTGTCAACCAGACCTCCAATGATGTACGTGCTGTACGGTTTGAGCTCCCGCAGGTCCGTGGTGGCTTCCGACGACAAGTACACAATTTCGCCCTCATCCTTCAATTTCTGGATTGCCACCTCGTCCAAGCCCTCATATTTCGTAAACACACCTTCTAACTTGCCACCCTGCTCGCTTGACATCCACTCTTTCGCCTTCTCTGCCGTCTCCACAAAGCCGGTTTCGAACGTTCGGACCCCTTTCCAGAGCTTGTATTGAGCACTCAGGACAGTTTCAAAGCGCTCCTTCAGCTTCCCGCCGAAGGAACAAATGGTCAGATGTGCGCGGAACTGGGCATTCTTGTTGTCCGAATAACATCTCGTGATTTGCGAGCCCAGCGACGTCCGCTCGCCATCGTGCATGAGGTCGTCAAAATTGCAGTCCACCAGAATCGTGACTGGGAGTTGAGTTGCCCTCTTGTAGATGGCCTTGGCTGGGGTCGGAAGTGGAATGCCCTTCTCGATCGCTTGCTGCCTTTCTTCGCGTTTCCGCTCGCGCTTGGCTTGCAGCTTCACTTTGCGATCTGCTTTACGGTCTTCACGCTTGGCCTCCCATTCTGCTTTTCGCTTGAGCTTTTTCTGTTGTGACTTTGAGAGTGGCGGATCTGGTTGTTCGCCATTGGAGGATGTGCTGGCTAGAGGCGCCACTGCATCAGGAACAGGAAGACTTTCATCCTGATGTTCCTGATCACTGCCCCCATTTGCAGAGGCATTTTGCAATTCAGCGGCTGCACTAGTCACATCGACATCTTGTTCTTGCATTGGTGGACCATTTTCGACAGCTGCCAAGGGAGCACTTTCAGCGGCGATCGCATCGTTGGTATTGGTACTCGTTTTCCGTATCTTATGAGGACGCTCTTCAGACTCCATAGCGGCGATGTCGAGGGAGACTGCCAAGTGATTTTGTGATATCTGCGATAGAACTTTTTTGAAGCTCAATGGATGGAAATGCCAGCCATAATTACATAAGCAGTAGCTCCATCACGTGATATGGCGTTCTAGGCACAACGCGTCCCGGGAAGACGCGAAAACAACATAACATCACCACAGCTCCGTCCACCCCACCACCACCGCCCAGGCGACGACGGTGGCTCTCGATGCTCACTTTCCCCGACGGCGCGACTGGTGCATAGCGCGAGCAATGTCTGCCAGCAATGACGACGAACAACCTGCGCGAGCACATGCAATGGTTCCTGCGCACGAAGCCTGGAATACCGCCTACTACTGTCGATTTGCCGCCGGCGTCCACTTCATTCGCTACGCCCGCTGACGACGCCGGCGAGAACGAGAACGAGTTTGGTAGCGACCTCAGTGCCCTTGAGGAGTTTGCGAGTGCGTCAGGGCCGGCGGGAAGGTTGCAGGGTGGGGACAGCACGGTACAGCAGCAGCGGCAGCAGCAACGGCAGATCGTATCAGATATCGGACTCCCCACTCCTGCGACGACCGTGGAGCTAGCGAGGTCAACATACCAGCAGCCAGCGTCTTTCGTGCGAGACCCAAGTGTGGTGGCAGGAGCGGCCAATACGTCCGCTCAGCAGGTGGCAAGATCTGGCCCGCCGCACTCCCAACCTGCTGGCAGAGACGAAATGGTGCGGAGGACAACGGCGCCCACGTCGGCTAGCAAGCCACAGGTAGCCGTGGGGCCACGTCATGTGGAAGCGACACCTTCTAAGATGGGGCGTCCAGCGCAGGCGGGCTCTGCACAGTCTACGCGCGGAGGCGCCACTTCCCAGCGAATATCATTCAAGGACGTCGAAGAGATGGACTTGACGGAGGAATTTGCCAGACTGCAAAGCCCGAGTGCGAAAAGGCGGGCCCCGCCTCCTATAGCTGGACGCAAGCGTAAGAGCGATGAGTTTGAACTGGACATCCGCAGTCAGACTGCTTCTGCGAAACGTCCAGTGCCTCCTCAGGTCATCACACCACGGGCTTCGCAGGACTTCCCGTCTATCGAGGAGGATGATGAGTTCGATGACAGTACAGTCGGCCCTCCGCCACCATATTCTACTATTCCCCCGAAGCAACAGACGTCAGCAGGGCTACGAGTCACTGGAAATGATGCAAGAGCCCCCGTGAAATCGTTCGTGCAAGATTCTGAGGATGACGATGACGATCTCATGAATTTTGGTCACAATGAATATAATGGAAATACTGCGGCACACCAGAGCACTCCTCACAGGCAGCCCGTTGACGTCAAGCCGATCATCATTAGTTCTCCAGTTGTGGATGCGCCGCCTATCAAACGGCCAACATCACGCGTAGTAGAGCATTCCCACATCAGCTCTCCGGGAGCGATCCCACCTCCGATACACTCCCAGGCATGGTCCCGACCTGCAGAGGTGTTGCCAACTGTACACTACCCAGATCTCAAAGCTACCCCAGGCTCAAAAGCAATGAATACACCAGTTCCACCACCGACCAACACCACTCCAGCATTGACACCCGAAGCAGAAGAGCTGAAAACACTGCTTCTCACATTATTTGGTTCGTTCGATACGTTTCACGCGCGTGCCTCAGCAAGAATCGACGACAGAATTGAAGTCGTTGTGGAAGAAACGACAGATTGGATGGAGGCTGGAAACGATGACACCTCGAAATTTGATGCTGAGCTGGACGAACTTGAGGTCAAGAAGAGAAATCTCGCCACACTCAAGTCCAAGTGTTCTGCTTATAAGAAGGCGCAGGAGCACCGAGACCAAGCGAGGATCGACCTGAAGCAGGCAGTAGCTGCACGGGAAGGTCGAGCTGAAGCGAATGCAGCAAGTCGCGCTGCCCGAGACCGCCTGGACCAACTAGAGAACGAGTGCATTGCATTGCTCAAATCTTGCGAGGATGATATTCGCGCAGTAATCGATCCGCGCGTGGCAGTGATGTCAACACAAGCGTTTCCAAGTGCTCCGGAAAGGGCACCTGCGCTGGCCAGCTCAAGCCGCATCGCTCAAACCCAAGTCCAGCAGCAGATGCTACCTCCTGCGCGGAAAGCCCAAGCACAGACGAATCACGCTGATACGGGAAATGCTCGCGTCCGATTCGACGATAACTCGAGACAGCAGGACAGCCTCATGTTCAGCGACCATGCTTTCGACGACGATATTGATGACATGGACATGCTCGATACAAATCGTGGCGTGTACGCTACGCGAATGGGCACTCCGCCTGCTGCCTATGATGACGATGATGACTATGGCATGGATGACGACGACGAGATGCTGGACGTCGTACAAGGCTATGACAACAGAGACGGAGGCCCGTCCACCAAGATCACTCCTGGAAGAGCTGTATTCGCTGAGATGTCAAACAACGTGCAAGGACGACCTCAACCAGTCAAGACGAAGAGAGGTCCTGCGGTACAGTCGGAAGCTGAAAAGCAAGCGGCTCATCGAGAGAATATGCGCTTCCCATGGTCACAGGAAGTTGCGGATAGGCTCACGAAGGTGTTCAAGATGAAGGGGTTCCGCGAGAACCAATTTCAAGCCATCAATGCCACTCTGAGTGGCAAAGATGTCTTTGTATTGATGCCAACCGGGGGTGGCAAGTCGTTGACATATCAACTGCCTGCTTTGATCCAGACGGGCAAGACTCGAGGCGTCACGGTCGTAGTGTCGCCCCTACTCAGTCTCATGCAAGATCAAGTTCAACATCTCAAGCAGCTTGGCATACAAGCCTTCCTCATCAATGGTGAGACCACCCCTGAAGACAAGAGGAGGGTCATGGATGCTCTCTGGAAGCCGAATGTCGAGCAGTTCGTGCAGTTGCTGTATGTCACCCCGGAGATGCTGGGAAAGAGTGAGAACATGCTCCGAGCATTCGAGGGATTGCATCGCCGCGGCAAGTTTGCGAGGCTTGTGATCGATGAAGCACATTGCGTCAGTCAATGGGGCCATGATTTTCGTCCCGATTACAAGAACCTGGGTGAAATTCGACAGCGATTTCCAGGCGTGCCGCTCATGGCGCTGACAGCTACGGCAACGACGCGAGTACGAGAGGATACCATGCACAATTTGGGCATGGAGAAGAACAATCCGGACAAATGCCAAGTGTTCACGCAAAGCTTTAACCGCGAGAATCTGTATTACGAAGTCCGCCCCAAGCCGAAGGGCAAAGAGGGAATTTCCGCCATGGCGGACATCATCAAGGACTCGCATCCCAGAGAGACGGGCATCATATATTGCTTGTCGCGTGCAAACTGCGAGGACATTGCGAAAGCGCTGCAGAAGACCCATAAGATCCGAGCGCAGCACTACCACGCTGGCCTGAAAGGATCTGAGAAGAGTATGGTACAGGAAGAGTGGCAGGCGGGCCGAATCAAGGTCATCGTAGCCACTATCGCGTTCGGCATGGGCATTGACAAGAGCAACGTTCGGTTTGTTATACACCACACCATTCCTAAATCTTTGGAAGGCTACTACCAGGAAACCGGCAGAGCTGGTCGCGATGGCAATCCTTCTCGATGCTACTTACTCTATGGGTATGGCGATGCGGGCAAGTTACGTCGCATGATTGACGATCCCAAGAATGAAGGCAGTCGAGAAGTGAAGGACATGCAGCACCAGATGCTGCGCAAGATGATTCAGTACTGCGAGAATAGGAGTGATTGCAGGCGCGTGCAGGTGCTCAGCTACTTCAACGAACGCTTCGACAAAGCAGATTGCCACGGCGGGTGCGATAATTGTCAATCGGAATCCACCTTCCAGGAAGTCAACCTCACCAAAGAAGCAGAGCAAGCCATCAATCTCGTGAGACAAGTGAAGACGCACAAGGTGACGATTCTACACTGCATTGATGTGTTCAGAGGCGGAATGAGCGCGAAGGCGAAAGCTCTTAATCACCTCGATCTGCCAGAAGCTGGTGCTGGCTCGCACCTTAATAGGGGCGACGTCGAGCGGCTGTTCTATCATCTGCTAAACGAGGAGGCTATTGTCGAGGTTAATTGTGTCAACAAGCGCGGTTTTGCGAACCAATATGTGAGTCTTGGCCCTCGATGCATGCAATTTCGCCCTGGTCGCACAGAGATGATCATGAAGATCAGCACTTCGCCACCAAAGGACAAGACTGTCAATGCACCAACCAAGAAGTCGAAGAGTACAAAGAGGCAGAAGGAGCTGCCGATGTCGACCAATGTCTCCTCACCTCTTCAAGGTCCCTCGAAACGAAAGAAAGCGGATGTACAGACCAAGCTTGAGCGCAGAAAGCATGCCAATGGATACGCTGATGACGGGTTCGTAGTCGAAGATGAACCCGGCTTCAGTGCAGACGAGAGCGACGACGGTTTCGAGCCCATTCGAACCGTGAGCACTAAAGCTCCCGAGCGCAGGGCACCAGCCAAAGGCCTCACAGCTCCCATTGCGTCAGACGTTCTCATGGACAGTTTGGATCCCGTGAAGAGATACCTCGTGAATGACTCTGTGAAAGCTGCGATCAAGAAGCTGAAGCAGATTATGAAGAGGGAAAAGCTGATGTGGATGCCCTTTACGGAAACCATGCTCCGGATCATGTTTATCAATTCCCTCGACACTAAGGAGAAGCTGCAGACGATTCCTGGGATCGACTACGAGCGTATCAATCTTTATGGGCAGCACATGATCAAGCTCGTCAAGGAGTACATCGGCCGCCTCGCAGAATGCGCTGACGATGGCAATGCGAACAATGATGATGGTAATCCTCCCGCTGACGAAGAATGCGAGGAAGAGCCCACGAATGATCACCAACATGAGAAGAACGTGATCGTCATCGATAGTGAAGGCGAGCCGGGCGAAGAGGACGACTACGGTCTCGAAGACGATGACGATGCATATGACCTGGGCGAACAGAGTCGCCACTTCGCACCTCAATCGATCCCGAAAGAGGTTGCAGAGTGGAACGCCGGTTTCGTGCAACCTGTGAACCAGGCTCAGACGAATTTTCCCGATTCGCAGACGCAGAAGAAAGTTACTGCCAAGAAATACGTGGCCAAGGACAAGTCCCAGGCCACGTCGCACGAGAGCGGCGCTCGAAGAACGTATTCAGGCGGCGGCGGCGGCAGCAGCAGGTCGATGAGCAAAGGATCCGCGAAGACGGGTAAAGGAGAATCGAACACTGGTCGACGAAGAGGAGGAGGAGGAGCACGTGGAGGATTCGGTGGCATTAGTATGATGCCGACTTGAGGCTCCGCGCTCCATGGCCTGCTGAACTTTGCGCTGGCTCGATACTGATGTGCTACGTGCACACGAATGATGCGCTCTCGAGCATGTTTCCTCTCGTGCACGTGCGATTACAACAACACCCCATATTCCTGTCCATATTGTCAATTTCAGATTCCGATGTTTACAGCATATCAACTGCCAAGAGCGCTCGGGATCTTCGAACGTCTGGTCCTGGCCTCCTACTGCAGATACTCGCTTGGACATACTTGTTGATGAACTCGCAATCGTTGTCTTGGGATCTTTCGGTCCGGGTTTCGGCGTTGTGATGATCCCGTCGTGCTGCAACAGCTGGTCCGCCAAGTCTTTGAAAGCTTCACAATGAAACTCTCAATTTACCGGTCGTAAGAGGAGATTTAAATCCGCGTCGCGATGTCCCTTGCAATATGTTGCGGACCGAATGACAGACATGCATGTTGATACTCGTTGGAGGAGGGGAGGGGTGTTTGATGGTAAAAGGACTGACTACTCGATGCAGCATGCCTACCTACTTACGAGAGTGAGCCCTCAGTTGCACACAACTACCAAGTCGTCGCAAAAAACAAGAAAAAAAAAATAAAAGAGAGTCTAGACTCGCTCGGTGGGATGTTGCAAAATGATGCCGTTACGGAATGTCTTGTCTCAGATTGAGTTGCGGGCGTCGTTGGCAGTCATGGGGATCGTACAGCTAGTTGTACCTTTTCTCGGCGAGACCGAGTCAGACACAACACAACACACGACAAGCTAGGAAGTCAGAAGTCATTACATACATGTACATACATGCAAAAGGACAACACATCCATCTACCTATTTCGTCCAGTATTATTACCTTATCCCAAATGATTGCCAAGAAAAATGTCACTGGTAACAACAGTACACTGAGTACACTGAGTACAGTACAAACAAACCAAAGTGGTCAGCAACAATACTACCTACCTTGACTGAAAGAACTACAGTCTATATATACCTCTTTACCTTTTCCCTTTTCCCTTTACATATATACAGTATATATCTACCATCTACCATCCACGTATAGAGTACACTGCCTACACTGCATACACTGTATGTATCCAGTAACAAGCATCTAGGTACATGTACCTAGGTATCTAATACATCCCTACATCCCTACTCCCCTACTCCCCTGTTTGTTCATGTATGTATCTTACTACCTTATTTTTTACTTTTTGACACTTTTCTCTCTCTCGGGTCCGAAAGACGGGAGGGGAGGAGGGGAGGGGAGGTTAAAAAGTTCCTTTGTGACTAATAGGGATAGTTGAAGCGCAGGCGCGGAGAAAGGGGAGAAAGGGGATTTTAGTTGGATGGAGATGGAGATGGAGAAGAAAATGGGGAGGAAATGGGAGAGGGGGAGGGGGGCGTAGTGTGGATGGATGGATGGATGGATGAATAGGGATGTCGTTGGTTAGGTACCTAGGTGGATTGTTGATAGGTAGAGTGATTTTGGATTCAGTGGGGAGGAAGAGGAAGGGGAGGAGGAGGAGAGGAAAAGAAACGGGCTTTAGGAACGGTCTAGTATAGTCTTGATTAGAGAGGAGGAGACAGAGAACAGGGAGGAAGTTGTGTTTCCTTTTTCCTTTACTCTTTCGTTCTTTCTTTCTCCTTCTTTCTTTCGTTTCTACGATAGAGGCAGAGAGGTAGAGAGGAGAGAGGACGGAGATGGCGAGGAAAAAGAAGTTAGAAAGTTAAAGTCCCGAAAGCAAAAAGAAAAAAAAAATACGGAGGAAAGAAAAAAGTATATTGTTTGTTGCTTTGTTGTTGTTTTGTATTAAGTCCGAGACGAGAGCGATATAGGAGACAAGAGACGAGAGACAAGAGGGATAGAAAGCTAGAAAGGAGGAAAAAAACTGTATTGTATTGATTTCTCCGATAATAAAAGCGATAGCGATAATTCGTACGAACTTTTGAAGTTAAGAGAGTAAGGAGGAGAAAGAAGAGAAGAAAGAATTGCTTGTAAACTTGAATAATCGATTGAACGAACGATTAAACGAACGAAGGATTGAAGGACTGAACGAACGATCGATCAAACGAGAGAAAACACAATCTCTCCTTCTTCCTAAACAGAAGAAGTATTTATCAATTCTACCGGTATACGATACAGTGAACGATTGCTCAGATATCTGCGTATCTACTTGCCTACTTGGCTGTCTGCCTATTTGCCTTGCTTGCCTAGGTAAGGTGTCTGTTCAACTGTATCTGTTACGTTCCAATTCAATTCAATTCAATTCAATTCAATTTTTCTTTCGATTATTTATCTCTCTCTCTCTCTCTCTCTCTCTCTCTCTCGGTCTTCCTCCGTCTTTCGTCGTCCTTGTCTTCGTCGGTTTTATCGGCCTCCTTATTCCCGCCTCCTAACTAGAAAGTCAAAAACTAAAAACTAACAAAACAACGTTGAACCGTACTGTTGAACTATTACAAGGATAGGTAGCAAAAAGAAAAAAAAAATAAAAAAGAGCCAAGAACAATATAGGGACAGGATAGGAGAACTACAAAAACTTTCAGAGAGTTAGGTAGTGTAGATGTATAGATCAGGGCAAAAAGTGTATTTTCTTTTTATGTTTTTATGTTTGGAGAATACGGAGATACTGTTTGATTATTTCCTTTCCTTTTCTTTCTCCTTTCCTTGCTAGTTAGTTAGCGGCCGTAGGCATCTTCGAACAAAAAAAAATAGTTTCTCAATATATAATTCACTATCGCAAAACGAAGAGAGTCGAAGCGTACGCGCGCAAGCAAGCAAGCAAGCATCTAATCCCCATCCCTATCTCCATCTCCATCTATCAATCCAAACCGGATCTAACCAACTCCCCTCCTCCTCTCAAACATCCCCCTCGATCTCTCCTCCCCTTTCCCCGTTCTCTCTTCCAAGTATGCAGGTACAGTACGTACACACCCAACCTGTATTAGGTACTTCTAACCTACGAGGTCTTTTAAGTAACAAGTAGTTTCTTTCTTGGATCGTAGTAGGTATATATGTACTGTACTTGTGCTACTTCCCAAAGGGTAAGGAGTGCGAGAGCGCGAGCGAACGGAAGAGGTAGAGAGGGAGGCCGGGAGCCGTGACGAGATGGAAACTGGGTTGAACCCTCTTTTTGCTTTTCTTTGCTCTTTGCTTTTTGTGGCAAGGAAGAGGAGGGGCAGGTTTTGGTTTTGGTTGTTGAGAAAACAAACACAACAACAACGAAAGGGGTAATTGTATATATGTATTGTACTGTATGTACTATTATACATATACATCTACTCTTTTTAGTCTGGTCAGATGCGGCTATCGAGGTAAACTCTCTTTCTTTTCGTTTTTTTTTTCCTTTCGTTTTGATTATGAGGGCGAGGAGAGGAATACTACTACGATGCGGTCGGTTTCGTGATAGATTGGTGTCGGTATCGAGAGGAAGAGTGAAAACGTGTCGTCGTGCGCCCGGGCGAAGAGAACGAAACAAGACAAGACAAGCCAGACAAGAAACGCAAGCCCTGAGAGGGTCTTGAGAGGCAGAGTTTCGAATTGGGGGTGGCAGGGCAGGGCAGAAAGACAGAAAGAGAGAGAGAGAGAGAAAGAAACAAAAGAGTTTCGGAATAGGGTAGAGTTTCGGGAATACCGAACATCGGCGAGTGTGTAAGACTGTAAGTACCTGTAGGCTGTAGTGGTGTGCTCTCACAACAATCCATGCTTTTGATAGATGATATCCTTGCCAATTCTGTTTCTTTTTTTTTGGAGGGGAGGGGAGGGGGCTGGCTGGCTGGCTGGCTGGCTGGCGAGGGTCCTGTCTCTCTCTCCTACCGGGATGATTGGATGACGCGACTTTTGTTTACAAGAATAACAACAACGACAAAAGAAAAAAAAAACAGACAGTGATGTTTTCTTTTTGCCTTTGCCTTTTTTGCTTTGTAGCGCCGCTGCCGAGAATATGGCGGTGATTCCTGAATGGCTAGGGATATGAACAAAGTAAGTGGCAAGCACACCACTTCTTATTAAGCCGGTAAGAGTAGTAGTAAGTAAGTAGCAAGTAGGCTTTTATGCCTCTCTCAAATCGACGATCAGTTCTTACCTGTACATATCCCTTAGTTTCAAACCCAAGCAAAGACTCCTAGACTTTTTGCAAAATTTCGCGGCAAAAGTCCGATTAGAAAAAATCGAAAGATCTCGCTCTATTACCATGATCGAAAGAGTTGAAAGGAAACTATTCCTACCCCTTCCCCCTACTAGGATCCTCTTCTAGTAGTAGTACGCTACTAGGGCTCTCGGTTTGATGCAAGAGCAATATATATGTTTCCCGGACCGTTCTGTTATAGTTTTAGTAGTATGTAGATCTACAGTAGCAAGAGATGAAGCTAGGCAGTTCACCTTATTACTACTCGAACCCCCCTTGGGCCTTCCTACGTTTGACGAGACGCACGCAGGTCTCAGCTGATACGCGCTCGCTCTCGAAAAGGGGAGGTGGTTAACGTCAGATGCTCCGTTCGCCTTGCTTGGATGACCAAGAGTGGAGAGGGGCGCTAAAATTGGGAGACCATCCTAGAGACTGTTGGTGCTTGGCGTCCAAATTCGTAAGAAGAGAGAGTGAGAGAGAAAGGGAGGAAGAGAGAGAGAGAGAGAGGAGAAAAAGAGAGAGTTGTAGGATGTCTTGGCACGACGTCGATGGTGAGCTCCCAATTCTCTTGGCACCAGAATGGGGAGTATACAGGACAGACATGTATTACTCACTCACCAGGCCACGTGTGTTGGCCAAGAACAGGAGCATATCATAGTATCTGGTCTTGACTCTTTTCAAAAAGGCCGGATCTTGATCAATTCTAGGCAAATGCTCGTGGTCTTGGCACCATATGCGGTCTGATGAAAAGGCATTCGGTGCCAAGAAGACCCAAATTTGAGGTCCAACACAGTGCTAAGCCGTTTCATAGTCTCCTTGATCCTGGTTGCGTAGTCTTGTATGATTGCGTCGGCAGTTGTTGGCTCGTTGGGTACCTGTATTGTTGGTTTTTGTGCACCAAGCACAGAAACAGGACACAGACACCAAAGTTTGGACTGCGCCCAAATTGTGAAAATCACACTTGCTGCGCCGATCAAGTATAGCAAATGGAACTAAAATGGCGCTACTGTCGTTCAATTTAGGATCTGACGAAAGACCATTCTCCAGGTCATGCCCTGTGAATGCGATGTGCCTCACCTTCTTCTGCTTCTTCTGCTCCTCCTCCGGGGGTGGTCTAGAACCTGTGCACGCGCGAATGCAGATCACTTGGACAAGGCCACGTTGACAGCGGGGGGGAAGGGGGGGTGGTGAGCGGAGCGGCACGGCAGCACCGTCGACGGGAAGATGGCGATGTCCACTTGTCTGGGATGCTGAGACAAGAGCAGTGTGATATAATTAAGGTGATCACCCGGCCGCAGCAAATGGTGTACATATCGCAGGGGAACCTCGTATGACGCTGCCAAGTCGTGATGTGACCAGCATTATGCTGATCATCCGATGCCTTCACTGTGTGGTGCTACTATACCGAACGGGTAGGGAGCTTCCTCATCCGAGAGGTGCACACGTGTGTGCTGTTAGCCTGTCTCGCCGTTGCGAACTGCTGGACGGCACTTCTGGCGAACGCAACACAAGCATCTCGGCGAATTTGTAACGTATTTCTTGTTTCATTAAGGCCCGCACGATCGCGAGTTTCCAGACACACACACACTCACACACACACAGACATTCCAGGGGTGGTTTGGGAGGGGTGTAGAAAAGACCAGTAGTTTCGAAGACCGCCGGTCTGCGTCGAGTACGACATCACAATAGTAGTCGGTGACCGGGGCAAAGCACAGCGGACTCTGCAGCGCATCTTGGCCGACTACTAATAAGTCTTTCCTTGGATGAGGGACAGTGACCATTTCCCTGATCGCACGTGTCAGGCCCTTGCTTGTCAGAACCATAATGCGCGCAAGCCCTGATCCGATTTCAAGTGACGATGGAAATATACACGTCCGACTGGCAACAGCGGTCCAGGCATACAGCACTCCTCGTAGGATCTTGCGTAGTTGGTCAGTATGGCAAGACAGGAGGAGTACCGAGAATCTGGGTACGCCCTAGTCCTTCTGTCTCATTGTTAGCATTCATGAGCAGGGCCCCTCGTGTAGCACGCGAACCTTCGCATTCAATACGACAGGTTGTATGATCTCACACTACCAGGCAAGCATGGTCGAGTGGCTTCGTACAGGGCTCGTGACGTGACCTCAGAGCTGTATTTCTCTCTGTCTCTTCGTACCAGCGGTTTCATAGGAAGACAACATCGGAACACCGCCTGAGGACCAGCGTATCGACGAGGCAGTGCTGCAGCGAATCTGGAAGTGGAAGCATTCCAAGCCGCATCGCTGTACGAGGGGAAAGTTCAACAAGCCGCATCGCTATACGAGGAGCTTTCCTGTTCAAGCATTGATAGCCGTGGTCCGCGAGGAAGGGATCCTATGTATACTGCTCTCCACGTGAGAAGGAAACCAAAAGACAGTCACACTTCGCCACGCAGCTACATGTACCGTATCTAGCTGATGCTGGCAAGTCTGGGAGCGACGATCAAGCTTGCTGCAAGAGATAGGACGAAAGACCACTAGTTTTGCGGAAGAAACAGAGCCGTGATCATGCTGCCAATGGAACCAGGGCCGACGATATGCCGGAGAGTAGCGCCAACTGCAGTGCTGAACTTGACGGTCGTTTGTAGAGGTACAGGTAGGTCCCTTTGTCTCGACCAATGTCGATAGATGTGAAGTTGCAGGAAGAGTTTCAATTTCGGTGCATCAGTGCTTAGTCGAGCGTAACGTTACTAGCGTGCTAGAGCCTAGAATAGTGGACATTCGCTAATTACCTTACCTATGTGAGAGTCGAGATTATGTAAAGACTTTCTAGAGGGGTATCGACGGGCTGTTACATAAGCAGTAGCCGAGTTACCAAGCAGGCTTAAACCTCTTAGCGAGTGTCTCAAAATTGCAACCTTTACGTAAAATCTCCCAATCAAGCCCTACTACCCCGTGGGTTTGTACCACAATAATAAATAAGCATAATGAGATCTCGTTTCCTGGTAACTTGGTATGCCTACCGGTAGCGGCTTGGTCTAGTTGCCACACCACAATAGCGACTATCCTGGGAATACGATTCTCATGAACAACGTCCCTCGTTGAGGACCAATGCAGGCATGCTCAAAGATGCGTTGTTTGTGTATGTGTTGCTTTCCTGCTGCGACAGCTGGTGTCGCACACAGACAGTACCGTCATCAGAGCGATGCGTGACGACGTGCAGTAGAATTAGTGCTATGATGGGTGCAGAGGGCAAGGGAAATTGAGCGGTCAAGAGCATTCCCGAAGCCGCAGCGACTGCTGCTATGTGTACCTCTCGATGGGAGAGCAAGCACGGCAGCGCAACGAAGAATACGGAAGAGCACGCTATACCGCACAGCGAGGCAGTTCACCAGAGCCTTTCTCCTCGGGTGTACGAATTCGTCTTCCGCGGCACCACAGTCTTCTCCGTGCCCATATAGGTTGTGCCTATACAGTCCAAGGCCTACTTTAGGAAAGAAGCAGTTTTTCTTTCAGGCGTCATCCTAGTCAGACAGATCGGCCAGGGAGTGTTCTCGGGACAGGAGGGCATGGGGCCAGCCAGTATGGTCGGGCATCCGAGCGGCTGTGCGTCAGATTATATAACCGTCCCGCAGAAGTATGCACTGGCGAGCTGCAGAATCGTAAGTTAGGGTGCATGACGTGCCAAGGCAGACGAATAGCTTATTCCAAGTGGGCGATGTGCTCCTAGGGCAGAACTCAGTCTATGAGCAAGTAAGAGATGGGCGCCTGGAGTTGGACGTGTTTCTTGGTGCATTGTTTGATACGAGTTTAGAACACCACTGGGCCACTGGGCCTCTCTCTCTTGCATCTTGGCACCAGGAAAATTCCGGTAGAGGGTGGGTGGGGTGTAGCATGTGGCAGTCCAGCGGCTGTGTCGCGTCGACTGACTTTGGGGTCCACGCGAAGACAGGTAGAAGCATGCTGGGAGGTATGAGGCAGTGGGTAATAAGGTCGGTCACCAGTGCGATGGCAAACAGCAGCGGCGCAGACGTGCTGCCAGACGCGTGTTGGTCATCGCCCGTGAATGTGATGCGTCGGGCAGACAGGATCTGCGCCTACCTACCTTACCTTACTTCTCCAGCACTGCACATACCAGTAGGAGGTAGCAGGTAATGGTAGGTAACCACGTCAGCCACAAGCAACGTTCAAATTGGCGCAAAGTAGTAGGAGGTAGTGCTGTGCAGATGAAACTGGACTACCTCCTAGCGCCAAGAGGGCATCTTGGAACTGCTGGGGAGGTGGACATGGACGTGGACGTGGTCCGAGCGAGCACGACACCTGAAGAGCAGCGTCTTTGCATGCGAGCAGTGTACGAACATGGCTGAGTTGGTATGATGATGACACTTGACGGTCAGGCCCACGGGGGAGTAGCCCATGTTGTTGTTATTGTTGTTTTTATTGTTGTTGTTGTTGTGGACGATGACGATGATGATGCTGGTGCTGCTGCTGCTGCTGCTGACAATGACGATGATGATGTCGACATGGTGGTGGTGATATTGGGAGTGGAACTACATCTCATCTCATCTCAATGATAAATGAAGTTTTCGTCAACAGTGTGGCCGAGTAAGTGCGCACGGTATACGTGGAGCGCAGATATTGACGGGCTGGGCGAAGGGGGGAGTGTGGGGGGGGGAGGCAGCATTACCGGCGTCATTTACGCTCGCTGTTACAGAGTATCCGAGCATCCGTTGTCGCGGCGCGCGCTCTCAGTCTCTCCGCTCCCATTGTTGCTGGCTCGCAGCGTCTCGGCTCAGCTTGCTGCTCGGTGTCTCTTTCGTCACCCTTGACAGGTCGATTCACTCCGGTCGTGGTAGTCAGCGGCAGCGGATCGGTCATAGCGCCATCGCAGCATCCCCTTCGGTCAACAGACTTCTCGTCATTCCATGTTGTTAGAGGGGCCATCCATGCGGCATTAGTCTGCCGCGCCCCGTCCAAGAGCCGCGCGAGGATGCTGGCGATGCCTGCCGCTATGAGCTTGACGCACCGACGGGACGATGCTGACAGAGCTTCCGTTGCTCACAAGAAGGCGTAGTGAAGTGCCTCGCCTTGGGAGGCCAGGGTCTGTACGCAGCGCAGTGTATTGCCAACATGGGTCTGAGTACTCTCCGGTCCCAGAGTTGCTCCCAGCTAGCACGCACTGTCATCTAGACCTCCAGGCTTACTTAACGATGCCTCCTGCCCTCCACGCCTCGTGGTTGACTACTCTGTCCTACATGACTACCTGTACTCCTCCTCCTCCTGCTCGTCCTCGTGCTTGTCCTCCACCACTATCACCTACTACTAGCTCCTGCTCCTGCTCCTGCTATTGCCTCCCTCTCCTCTGCTACTCCTTGGACCACCAAGACCACCAATGCAGTAGTATCACGACACCACACCTGTTATTGTCTATCCACCTTCGCACTAGTCGCTGAGCAATCCCATCGATATCGACGCAGGCGGAGACAATCATGGCACACCGGGGGCAGTTGTCCGTCCTCAATCAAGATCAGCAACCGGTCCCTGTGGCGTACCACTCCCATAGCCTATCACATTCGTCGCTTACGCCCGTCAACAAGATGGCCCCGCCACACCGGACTGCATCCACAGACTCTGCTTCTGAAGGCATCAGGAAGAGAGTGTGCAAAGCTTGCGATCGATGTCGTTTGAAGAAGAGCAAGTGCGATGGCTCCAACCCATGCACGAGATGCAAGAGCGATAATGCTGTTTGTGTATTCGGGTATGCAAAGCTCCACTCTGCATTACGGTGCATCCCGCTAATGATACACTAGTGAGCGTAAGAAGTCCCACGACAAGGTCTATCCCAAGGGATATGTCGAGATGTTGGAGCAGCAACAGACACAACTAGTCAGTGGTCTGGTGCTGCTGTACGAGAAACTACAGAAAGCTGGGGCCTGGGAAGGCCCTTCACTGGACGTCAACAACGAAGGCAAACCGTATACCCATTACATCCTCCAGGCTTTGGACCTGCTCGAAACGAAAGCCGATGGCTCGACCGAGGACTTTGAAGATGATCCCGTCAAATTGCAGGACAAGCTGTTTGCTGATGCACGTCACTCCTCCCAGCATCATCGCACCAATTCATTCAGCTCCGAGTCGGAACACAGTCAGCTCGGGCATGGACGTACGCACTCGCACGGGACGCCCGTGATATCGCAGCCCACGCCCACTTTCCGGCAAGACTATACGATGGCTGCGAAAAGTGAACCTTCATCGCCACCCGCGCATAGCGTCGCAGGTCGCAGCAACAGGAATTCCTTCCAAGTGCTCCCTGCGCAGCTCACGGACTTGCCAGGAGCCTCGCCGACGGCAGAGGACATGCCCATGTTTGAGTCCAACTGCCAGTCCTCGTGGCCGCAATACAATCCCGATCACGACTCCAAAATGGCCATGCAGGCCATACGGTCGGACTATGCGATTCAAGCGCCTACTCTGCAACAGCCTATCAGCATGCCGAACTTTGGTCAGTGGGATCCCACCACCTACACTACTCAGGATATGGATCAGGAGTCCTTTGCGCCAGGTTGGCAAGACGTAGCCGCGCACAATACGTACTACAATAATGGTGCGATGCGCCATGGTGGAGTCGACTATTCTTCGGCCATGGATGATTTTGATATGTTGAACTTTGTCCCGATCCAGACATGATTTTTGTCACACCCAGATCCTCTTGCAGGCCAACGCATACCTACGCACACATACACACGCACCGCACACATACACACACACACACACACATACACATACAGCGTATATCAGACGAGGTCCTTGTTCAATTGGACGATCTAGTACCGACCCCCAAAGAAAAAATGATTCGAGGGGGGTCCGCGACGCCTGCACTGCTCCGACCAAGTATACACGCATGTACACAGTGATGCAGATGGTGGGCGGCGGGCTGGTGATTAGTCATCAGCCTTGGCCAGGGACCTCGCATGCACCTGCAATTTGGGCAGCCACTAGAAGGCTGTAAACAAACGCTATGGAATTGCAACACCAGAGTTGTTAATCGGAACCACAGGAGCTCCTCCTTGAAGCAGCAGCAGCAGCGGCGGCATTATCCAGGCTTCCATGACCGCTTTCGCAGTCTCATCGATGAGACAATGACTGTCTCAGTCTCTGGAGGCCTGTTGGAGCCAGGCACCTCTAGCAAATCAGAGAGCTGTCAGATCACCACCACCACCACAGAGCGCCTGTTCATCTGAGTGTGTGTGGAGACGGGACTTTCCAACCTTGCCAGACTCTTACTGCGTTCAAGCGAAAGAACATGATACCCCAACTATTTTGAGATAGACGGAGAGGCTTCCTTGTACATTTTTTAATTCTTTTAGCTTCGGCGATCGGAGCCTTCTGTAAACAGTACACACAGCTCCCACGAGCCTTCGTATTAAAATTTATTTGAAGCCTAATTTCTACCCATGTCCAGCTGTGTGTGTGCGTGTTCCAGTGTAGATAGGTATGTGTGCACCTGGTTTCCCATTTCTACTGGCCGGTCGGAAGGTGGCACGTGAGGTGTACCATAGTGTATAAAGTTTGTCGTGGTCCCGAGGGCTCGGAAATGTGATACCGAATATATAACAGACTTTGCATTTTTCTTCATGGTTTCTCCATCACACTGCCCCCTCGCGTGATAGAGAGTCCTGTCACAATCATTCGTTGGTTCACTTGACAGGCCAGAGGTAGCCATGTCTGTGAGTCCGTGGGTGGGTAGCGTTTCCTTCATCCAACAGGTCCAATAATAAATGAATGATGATACAGAGCTTTACGGGCTTGTCAGGTTTCTCTTGTTTCCTTGTGCCATTTGTGGTGAATGGTCGTGGTCTAGAACTCTGCTCGTGAGCTTGGCGCCGTCTCACCATGACCTGCGTAGTTTTGTTTATCAGATCAGTTGATTACATGGCAGGGCAAGACAAGACCACGACAAGACACCTTAATGCGCCGTGTCGATGATAATGACGATGCTGACCGGTTCAGGCTGTCGGTTCATGTGGAGCCGCGTGCACTTGCAGATCTGTTTAGTACCTTTCTAAGGACCTGAGGTACATACGGTAGATACCTTAGGTTGTAGTCTTCGGAACGATCCGCGAGCGCCCAGCCCGAGAGCTTTCCAGCTTGGACAAGTACCGCACAGTGTAATGGACAAAGCCAGCATTTGGCTGGCTGCTCTTCAACTGCTCGGAGCTTCTCCAACTAACACTAAGCTACTCTCTTCCCCTCGATGACCATGTCATGACTATACGATGTCTATGACCAGACGATATGGCGGAAATATGGTTTTATCGAACGACCAAGCGCTGTCGCCATCTATCAGGATCTTCTCATCCGGATGGCGCAATTGAACGCGTCTGGGTAAAAGTCGCTGCTATTTGAGGCTAAATGATGCTGCAGGCAGGCAAGCTGTCGTGGAGAAACCGACACAGATACCTACTATAGCCGGCTCCACTAAAGCAATCACATCGCTTGGGTCCGTTGAACGAGACGTGGGAGAAAGAGTGTGGCACTATGGATTCTAACCTCGAGCTTCCCCTCTCGATGAACTGCTCAGGTTACAGATATTTGTAGCGACAAACCACCAACACCGACACTGCCATTCGCTCGCCGACATTCGCACCTACCCTACCTTGTACCTCCCTACCCACGCACCCACCTGCCCACCCACTATGGCCGAATCACGATATTCAGACGCGTTCAAGTTTTTGAGACAAGGAGGCATCATCCAAGAGTTCAATGTTGGTGGGCGGAACATCGTGCTCGGGTTCGAGTCTCCCGAACCGTACAAGCACAGTTCGAGTCAGTTCTTTGGGGAGAACATTGGACGAGTTGCAAATCGCATTTCAGGCGCAAAGATCAACCGCTTGAATGGCAAGAGCTACGATTTGGCTGTGAACAATGGTCCCAACACACTGCATGGCGGCGCTGAGGGCTGGGGCAAAAAGGACTTTGCTGGTCCCAATAAAGTCACTCGCAATGGTCGCGAAGCGCTAGAGTTCACGTATGTGAGCAAGGATGGTGAAGAGGGCTTTCCGGGTACGGTCGAGCTCCGCCTGTGGTACATTCCCACTGTGGAGAAGGATCAGGGCACAGAGAAGACCAGTCTGGAGATTGAATACGAAGCGGAGCTGGTTGGCGATGAAGCTGAAGAAACTGTCGTGAGCTTGACGAATCACAGGTATAGCCTTCAATCACCTCATGTATCACGCACGTTTTCACACCACTACTGACACTGAAACCAAGCTACTTCAACATCTCAGACGGTCCCACCCACGAGGGCACCAAAGTGGTCATCCATACTAACCTGCATCTACCCGTCGACGACTCGGCCATTCCCACCGGCGCCATCGAACCCTATCCCGAATTCGACGCGAAGAAAGAGTTCGTCTTCGGTGCGGAGAAGCCCGACCCAGATCACTGCTTCGTTATGAATCCCGATCCTGCGAGCATCCCACTTGACACGCGCGCAGAACCCATCCAGAAGCTCATCGAACTTTCCCATCCCAACACAAACATCCACTTTGAAGCTCTCAGCACAGAGCCTGCGTTTCAATTCTACGCGGGCAAGTTTATTGAAGCCCCTCCTGCAAAGGAAGGTTTGCCGCCTCGAGGACCGCGAAGTGGACTCTGCATTGAAGCCAGTCGATATGTCAATGCTGTCAATCAAGAGGAGTGGCGCCAGCAAGTGGTGTTGAAGAAAGGTCAGGTATGGGGCAGTCGTACTATCTACAGAGCGTGGGTCGAGTAGAGTAGTGAGTCTACATTGGGTAATGTTGTTGTTTCTTACCGCCTTCCCCATTCATACTGTCGTGTTTTTCATGCATCGGCTTCTTTTACGTATGATTTGAGCTCGACCATCTTTAGTACCTGTAAGTATGTACTGTCGTAAGGTACCTCTTTTCTTGCATATTTATGCAGCTGCATAGATTGTGAACCACACCCTACTACACCTTAGATACATGTACAATTTGTACATGTACATGTAGGTACCTACATAGCAATTTCCCACTCGCCCGGATCTATAACCTATTCCTCCCTCGAAGTATACCTTGTCTTTTTAGTCCAATACTCCAAGTTCAACACAATTTCCCGTTTTTTCTTGTATTTTGCTTCTTTTTTTAAGCCCCGGCAGGCGAATTCTCAGAATCCTAGCATCATGTTCCCTTTCCTTTTTCGCCTCTCCCTTTTACTTTCCCTAGGTAGACACTACACTAGTTTGCGGATTGATTTTTCCGCGTTAGAAGTCCAGCTGACCTGACCTGACCTGACCGACTGACCGGACTACATTAGTATGTCAGGTCAGGTCAGATACGTAGGTTAGGTTAGGTAGTCGACGTCGACTCGTATTAGGAGGGTAGGGGGGGCAGAGGACAGGACGGGCCGGAGCTACCTAGGAGGTAGGTCAGTCAGCTACGCGCGAGAGCCGCGTGTATATGTATGTATGTAATGTAAGGTATGTATGTATGTATGTATATATGTATATATGTATGTATGTATGTATGTATATATGTATTATTTTTTTATTCTTTTCGTGTTGGAGCGGAAGGAGATCGGAGGTCGGAGATGGGATAGGATGAGTTGTGTACCTAGGTTGTTTGGTTTATGTATACTCTAAGGGCGACTGGAGGAGGATTGGAGGAGGAAGGGAGGACGGGAGGGAGGACTTGTTAGGAGGGCTTGGTTTTTTCTAGGAAAACATAGAAATGATACCTACCGGTATCGATTGCGGCGGTAAGGGCGCCTGGGTGTCGGTATAGTGCAGCGTATCATCTATCTATTCCTAGCTACAGAGAGTCTTGGTGCTAAGCGCTTAGTAACGAACAATCGGTCTCTCGTCTATCATTATCCGGATATCGGTAGGTAGGTAAGGTGCCTAGGTAGGTAGGTAGGTAAGGAAGTAAGTAGTAGATGCTCATATCGTGAATGAATGAATGGAATCAATCAATCCATCGATTAATCAATCTACCCTAGGCACGTGCATATACCTACCCGCCCCGCTCGTCAAATCGCGTCAACTTCTCTCCCAACTTCCTATACAAGAACTTAGGAGGTAAGGTATCATACGCTCGTCTCCCTCCCCCTCTCTCTATCAGCACATGTGCATGTCTCATCCTACAAAACACTCCGTCGGTCGTCTGACTACGCCGCTACGCGCGCGCGTGGAGGACAGGGAAGGATAGACAGGTATTCACCCCTGTTCAACCCCCAGATGCAAAGGTGGCTACACCACATGTACTAAGAAAGCAGAAAAATCTACGATTCGCTACTAATACGAGGCTTGCAGTAGTCTGGTAGATGAACGACGAACGAACGACGAATGACGAATGACGAATGGCGAGGAAAGGATGGAAAGGAATTTGGAATCACGGAACGAACGAATGAACGAATGAACGAACAAACGACCGACCGACCGACGTCTACTTTGTAGGATACGAGGAAAAAGAAGTACAATCCGACTACGCCCTCGTAATTCTTTTTGGGGGGATTCGCTTTCTACACCGCTACTCGATAGGTATGATATCCGGATCAAGCAGAAAAAATATGCACATCTGGGTATTCTATCATAATATTGCATCGGAAGTCTAGGAATCCCGGGATAGCGGGATATAGACATAGACATGTAGACATAGAGACGTAGATTAGGTACAGGTACAGGTACAGATATATGTCGAGAACGAATCGAAACGACCCTATGACCCGGTTTCTCCTCCTCCTCTTTCTCCTCTTTCTCCTCTTCTTTCCTCTTCCCTCTTCCCCTTCTTCTTCTTCTCTAGCACGAAAATCCTTTATTTGTCTTTTTTTCCCCCTAGCGTATAAACTCGATCGGCTTCCAAAAATACCGACGATCCGAAACATAAAAAAAATAAAAAAATAAAAAGAAAATCGTACAGACGATAGACGACGGCTACCTTCCTCGAAAAGGGAAAATTTGAGCGAGAGAAATTAGTATAATAGATATAATACCTTAGTGTAGTGTTCTTGTTCTTGTTTCTCTCCTAGAAAGGTAGGAGGGAGGTATATACAAACGAACGAACGAACGAACGAACGAACGAACGAACGAGTACGAACGGATAGATAGATACCTGATATACGAACGTACGGACGGACAATAAGGCGAATACGCGAAATATACTTTTGTTAGATAGGTAGGTAGGTAAGGTAGGTCTCTGTCTACAGCTAGGTACTTACTTCTTTCTATAATCTTCTATGTTGAGTAAGTAGATATATACTAATTCTGTTTTTATATTTATGTTTCTTTTTATTCTTTTTTTCGACCCTAACCTTCAATTCTTCTCGTAAGAGACACTATCCCGAAGAGGCGTACATCTCAATAGATATCTAAGCGATACTTGACTGTTTAGGAGAAAGCACCAATACCTTGATCGCGAGAGAGAGAGAGAGAGAGAGAGAGAGAGAAGTATAGGCGATGTTAGTAATTTGTATTTTGTTACAAGTCGACCGAAGGTACGAAATTACAAAAGACAAACATCGCCGTTTAGTACCGCACATCTAGGAACGGAACAAGGAGAGGGAA